ATTGGAACTTTGATTCTGACCAGAATTCAACATAGCTGTTAAAGATACACATTAAATCAGGCAGAGGATAAGTACCTTTAATGCTCAGGTAAGAGGACATCATGGGGAGCTGCTTGGGATTTGCATCTCCTACTGCTCTACCCCTTGCTCTGAGGAGCTGACCTTCTCTCTGTTCCTGGAATAGGCCATGACCCCTCCTGTTGCAGGGTCTTTGTGCAGGGTGTTTACCCTCTCAGGATCCTCCTGCCAGCATCCACTCACCCCAACTACCACCACCCAACACGTGGGAGCTCGCGCGCACGCCCCGCACCACTCAGTTAACCTCTCTTTAACCTCTGTTTCAAGGAAAGCCATCACTGACCTTGAGCAGAGGTCAGGCTCTTCACATACTTTCTTAGAACAAAGGTGCTTTGCCTTCTTAACACTTATTTCAGTGTATAATTATATACAATACACCTTGGATATAATTTGAATTTTTTTCACCCCCTAAAATCATGCTATGAAAAAGAGGGGTTTGTCTTATGTTCCAGTAATTCCTAGGTCTCTCGCAGTAAAGGCCGTTTTCTAATTACTTCGTTTTGAACAACAAAGTACCATTTCAAGAAAACAGCTAAGACGATCTCAAATAATGCTTATTTTTGTTCTTAAGAAGGTCACCTTGACAATAAAAAAGGAAATAAAGATATTAAAAGCAGATTTCATAATTATTCTTGAGGCATGACTTCATTGGAAATGTTGGAATTGAACAGTTTCGGAAAGACACACTTTACAGACCACAGTGGATTCAAATAAGCCCCTTTAAAGAGCACTGGTAAAAGCAATAGGGCAAGTAATTAACACGTAGAGATCCTCGCCACAGAGTGAGAATTCCTGCCTGGGGATCAAAAGTGCGGCATCAGCAGATTTTTAAGACGTGTGCTATAAACAACACCCAGAGGATTGATGATGAACCCTGCGCCAGATAATTACAGAGCCGACCCAGGGAGCACAGACACTGATGTTAAAGAAGCGTATAGAAAGCCTGAACCAAATTATTTCATGAAATACGAGAATGTTCATCAAGATGAGAAGGCTCTTCTTTATATTTTATAAATGTAAAGAATCTTATTTCTTTTTTTCCTCTTTAGGAATTCAATGGCTCACGTTTTTACAATAATAATTCTGAGGCCTTTATTCATTACTGGGAAATTCCAAGTTGAAAAAAGCCATTCTTATTAGAGTTCGATCTCATAGTGAAACATATTAAAAGAACTACTGCTTCCTGAGCACTTATAGTTATTATTTCAGTTAATCCTACAGTAAAATTAGGAATTTGTTGTTATCTCCATTTAAGAGTTACAGGGAACTGAAGCTTGTCAGGCTTAACAGCCAACCATGACCACTGGTCAGATTCTGTAATAAGAGCCTTACATACAGTATCTCATTCAATTCCCAAGACAATTTTATGACCATTATTATCATCTCTATTTTGCATATTAGGAAATGGAGGCAAAGAGTGGATAAGATTAAAAAAACCAGCAGCATGAATGCCAGGATTCGAGTCCAGGCTGCCTGCCCCAGAATCCCCCCAGATAATCACCATATTTTCACACATCATGAAGTTGGGAGGAGGCAGTGGGAACTTGGAAGATTAATTTATTGTGGGGTGTGAAGTATGTGCTATGAAGTGAGGTCATTTCTCTTTCTCTTTCATTGCCTTCCCAGTTTCCCCGGCACCCCACAGTAAACCGGTCACCGCTTTAGTAGTTTCCTTGTTCATTTTCTTAACATCTATTCATTGAATCTTTAAAGGAAACATTTAGCTACTGCAATGGGTATACATAAGTTGGTTGCATAATAGGAAGGAAACAAGCCAGGACTAGAGACTTCATTTCTAAAGAAGGATTTTAAAGCAGCTAAGAGTTATTTCACGGAGAGGGTCCCGAAACTCGAGTCTCTCCTTCCCCTTTCATTGCTATGACGACAGGCTGCTCCTGCTACATGTAGCCAGAAAAAGCAGCTGACATTTCAACGATAGGAACATAGGGGAGAGGTTTACAAAAAAACACACAAACCCTGTCGTTTGAATTTCAGTTAGAGAGGAAAAATACCCACGAGAGCAAGCCAAAATCCCTATTCTTGCCTTTAGAAAAGATAAGAAAGGAGAAATGCTGGGGGCCTCCTTCCCTGTCCAAGTAGGCCAATAAAAGAGAATTGACTGCAAAGCAGCGTTTCTTCTCACTCTTCTTAATGGAAATCGGAAACAGAAAGCTCTCTTTAGTTTCATTTGACTTGGCCATTAAGAAGCAACTAATTGATGAAGCATAAAGACTCACAGTAATAAATACTTCTTGTTGAGGCCCCCAGGGGAATACAGTAGTGTCAGGTTTATTTATTTATTTTTCATTTATTTGGATAAAAAAAGAATATTTCTTTCTTGATCCCCAGTTTTACTACCAGAAAAATCATTCCAAGTGCATAACCAAACACTCACTGTGTGTTTGGCACTGTCAGGTGCTATACTTAGCATTAAAAAACCCCTGCCCACCCTCATTTAATTCCTACAACAACCCCATTTGCGGGTAACATTATCACTATTTGCTTCATAAATGGGTAAACTGAGTCCTGGAGGTGTGAAGTGGCTGCCCAAGCTCACACAAGCTGCAAGAGGCAGACTCAGGATTCAGATCCAAGAGTGTTAGACTCTGAACCCCATGCTCTGTCCACACTGCTGTGCTGACTCGGAGGCAGAGACCTGGCATTGACATCACGTTACACAGCAAAGCTTGTAAGTATAAGGAAGAAACCCCGAGGGAAAGCCTGGAGTAAACCCCCTTTCTACAGAGTTCCAGTCAGGGCATATAGGCAGGCTAATGCTTTAATATTAGCTATGGTCAATCGATTGCTTCATATGTACGAGGCATAGCTGTTTTCTTCACTAAATTATTACAAACACATCTCTGAGGTAGCAGCTAATTTTATGATCCCTACTTCCAAAAATGAGGAAACTGAGGCTCAAAGAGTTATTTGTCCAGAGCCTGGTAAGGCCCAGATGTCAGCCAGGTCTGTGTGCTTCCAGATGCCATGATCCTATGCACTTGATTACACCATCTTCCTACAGTCACTCTGTTCTCCAGAGTTCTACTTTTTGATGCCCAGAGCAAAAACCACGTGGACCACCATTGCAGGCTCAGCTTTTGGGGGAAGATGCCCTGTGGGCCCTGCGTGAACCAAACCCTGGCCTAGTTGGGCATCTCTTGGGCAGCCAGACCTACTGGGGAAATTCTCCTGGATTTATGGGACCCCCTTCTCCTTCACTAAAGGTTGTCGTAGAATGATAAGTGAGGGAAAAGGGCACCTGAAGTCTTTTAACAACAGTGTTCGTGCTCTTGGAAAAAGATTCCCAGCATGTTCTGAACATTGTGCTAACCACTAAAATAGCGGTGTTTGTGTGCTCTTACAAATCAACTGAATAAAAATAAGCAGTCGAGAGGAAAAGAAAATGAATAATTTTTTGGAGCTGTCCACATACATCACTATTTGTTTTACTTTTGTCATCACTATTCATTATTTTTACTTAGTTGATAAGCGAAACTGTGTATGCAAAGCTATTGGAGATTATATCCCAAAGGACCTGGAAAGGAAGCCCAGTACTCTAATTGCTAAAAGGCTGTACAAAAATTTCCTGAAAGAAAAAAGGCAAGATTTATTAATAACATGTACTTATTCTTTCCCAAAATGTGGAGAGCAGCATTAGTTGATTGGATGATAAGTGGAGGAAACACATGGCTTGGCTTTGTTAGATCTTGTTGAATGAACAGAAATATGTACTTCAGTCTGTCCTAAGATGGGCGTCCTTCTTTTAAACAGCCATAGTTAACAACTTCATAACCATCATGGTTTAGCTGAATAAGCTGTAAACTGAAAAAGCTAGTATCCAGGAGAAAGGGGCAATTTTTAAAAAAAGATCTCTGCAGAGTTGGACTGAGGGAACGCTTCTATTCAGTGTACTTAGGCTCTGGGCCAGAGGAGAGCTCAGCTACAATGCCAAGGTGACATATTTAACCTCTTTGCAGAGTAAAGGCTGCAAGAGAGATTGTCTTTCTGCAGTGCCTCTTCGTTACAGTATCAGCAGTATCGATCTGCATTTGAGAGCATGGTTTCCTCCTGCAGCGTGACCTCTGGTACCCGGAGGAATGAATGAGCATGACTTGCATTATTTTTTATTTTATTTTAGAAGATAGAGCCAGAAATGATAGTACCTTACAATATAAGAGTTATCACAATCTCTTTAGCTCTTTGAGTCCCTTCCCTCTCTTTCCCCTTCTTAAATAAGTCACCATTAGGAATTAGAGAAATTTTATGTGTGTGTGTGAACATCTTAAAAATGATAGAAGGAGACAAGAGACAATTAGTCATAAAACTCTAAGAGGGAATCAGGAAAGGAATAATAGTCACAACAAGTAAAAAATCATGAAAGAAGAATACAGTATAGGGATTTTTCTACCTTTTGGAAAAGCAGAATGTTCCATTTCTACATTGTTGTTAGGTGCAGACTGGGACAACGGTGTTGACTGAGAAACTTCACATGATTTAGACATGGAAAACACACAAATTACTTTGCATTGAAAGTTTTTAAAACACTACTTTCCTTATGATTTGTTGAACATAATTAGTAAAGTACTTCTACAAAACACAGTTCAGGATTCAGACTTAACCAAGATCTGAATGCAATTCTAGCTGACAATAGTTCTACATTTGTGTTCTTGCTCTATACTAAAACAATCACTTATTAGTATTTGTTATTTAATCTTGGAGAAGAAAAGGAAACATGAATACAAGAGTTAAATTTCCCTGTTAAGTAGTTTTTCTATAAATCATACAAAAGGTTGTTTCTCTCTCTCTCTCTTTTTTAAATGAATGGCTTTGTATTAGGTAAAAATCTTAGCTATCTTTACCAGATCATGCAAATCAGTTAAGCACATGCAATTAGATGATACAGTAAACTTATTAAAATTTACCTTCAGGTAGGTGGCTGGACCCAGAGCCTTGGCAGAAAATGGAAGTTGAATCCCTTCTTTGCAGGGAATAAAAGTTTGACAAATACCCAATACTCTTTAAATCTCTTCCCTCACCAGCGTTGCTCCTTTGCACAGAAACACATTTGAGCCTATTGGAGTCGAAATTCTGCTTCTCTGTGAACTAGTCAGGGTCTGAGGTGACAGACCAGTTTGGAGCGTGCTCAGACTGTCATGGTTTTGTTGCAGATTCCTGCAGCTCGCCGGCAGGCTGGCCTCTCCGAGGGAGCGATGAGCTTTATGAGGAGAGCAAACCAACAGGGAGAGAGTTAACAGTCCTCCCCTCGAGCTCTTGTTCTCAGGAGCTCATAACTTGGCCAGAATATAAGCGCTTGGCTCTTTATGCTTTTTTTCCCCCCAAACAACTCTAAAAGGTTTTATAAGCAGGATCCTCTTTTAGGGAATTTTTATTTTAAGACTGTAAAAAGAAACTCCATGCTGTTCTGTCTTTCTAAAGGAAATTGAAGGGGGGGGCGGTTAAGGAAGGAGGGGACCATTGTAGCAGATGCATTTTCACATTGCTTAATTGGAAATTGTTCTCACGGGGACAGTCTGAGTTTTAATAATAGCGGGGTATTTCAGATACTTTAACCTTTCTGCCAATGACCTTCAGAAATCTACAGATGTATAAAGCATCACTTCTTCACATTACAGATCACTTGTATGACGATTCCCAAATGTTGCGGTTCATAGACTATTCTTCCCCTAACACGACCCCCGCTGTAACCCCCTGTATAATGATTGGTCTATAAGAAGGAGTTTTCCCATGCATTTATTTTTGACTTGAGATTCTGTCTATTTATATATGAGTCTGATCTCTTCTACTGCTACTTCTATGTTTATTGCACATTTATAATGCTCCAGACACTGTGCTAACATTTTTTTATGCCTTATTTTAGTTGGTCCTCACAATCTATATGCGGTGAGAATTACTACGTTCCCATTTGAAGGAAGTGTGTACAGTGGTAAAGCCTGCCCATTTTGAGGCCATGCAGCTTGGCTTTGCAACCTGGCTTAACCACTTCCTAACTGTGTGACTTCAGACAAGTTATATAACCTTTCTAAGCTTCACCAACCATATCTATAACGTGGGGCTATGCTGTGTTGTATAACCTCTAGGCTATAATACCTCCTTCTGAGCAAGCTATGAGCTCTTGGCTGGTAGAAATGTGCCCCCTCTCTATTGCCCACGTGCCTAGCACAGTGCTTTGCATACTGTAAATGCTCCACCAACATGGAATGAATGGTTGTAATGTAATTTAATTTCTATTTTCTACACTGATGCCAAAGTCAGGCCAAAAGCAAACCAACAACAATGAAAAGAAATAACCCCCGCACACCTAGTTCTAGGGAAATCTGCCCTCAGACAATTGTCTCCAAGCGCTTTCCGAACCTTTGCCCTGCGTAGCTTTCAGAGCACAATAAGAGAAAGGTAACAAGAATTATCTCTCCTGTGCAGTTGGGGAAATTTGGGAGCAGAGGAAACTGGGCAATTTGCCCAGGAACCGAAAACAAGTCATGGCGCAGCTGGGAAGAATCTCAGGTCTCTAGGAGCAGGATGACTTGTTTCAAACTGTCTTTCCAGGCACAGGATGAAGTGACGTGATGTCCTTTTGCCTCAGACAATGGGATGTTTTTCCTCAGCCAAGGCCTGGGGTGTGGGCAGTCTCCTCCGAGGAAAAGTCAAAGGAATGGGCTGGGTTTGGCTTTGCTTGCCCCCTGCCCTGTGCACATCTGGGTCTGAGGAGTGGAGACAGACACCGTTTCTCCAGCGGCTCCTGAGGCCCGCGGCTGTGGTGGGGCTGTTGCAGGGTGTGTAGGACAAGCATCTGGCCCAGGTTAGCTAAAGGAAATTTTCTCTGGGGCCTGAAATGCTGACTCCTTGTTCTAGCACCATTCCCCATTTATTTGAAATAGTTTTATGAGATTTATTTCAGGTGATTATATCAATTCAATGAGAATGTAGAAAGTTTTAGCTAGAGAGCAATGGAAAAAAGATTAGACTGACAAAAATATTTTTTTCTAGTACAAAAATTGGTATTTTATGTTTCTATGAAGTGATCAAAATGAAATTTCTTATAGAAACCTATGTTAACATAAAAATAATTTGTTTAAAGCAAACTGGATTTATCTCTTAAATGTAAGTATGTACCTAGAAGGTTCATTTGTAGGTGGCAAAGCTTGAGAATTTTGACACTGTTATCCTGGATGTTTTCTCTAGGTGTTATTAACCTATAACATGATGAAAATGATCCACTGTGTTTCTTTTTTTCCACTGTATTTCTTATAAACAGAAAATAGAGATTTAAAAAAAATCCTCACTCAAGGATATGTTTTTCATTGATTTTAGAGAGAAAGTGAGAAAGAGAGAGAAATATCGATGTGAAGGAGAAACATTGATCGGTTGCCTCCCTGACTAGTGATCGAACTCGCCACCTTTTGGTGTATGGGATAGTGCTTCAACCAACTGAGCCACCTGGCCAGGGCGAAAATAGAGAATTTTTAAAAAAAATACAAGGACCATGAACCCACATTATCTTTTAAGTATAGCTTTATTTTAGGAATGTTCATGGGCAAGTATCTAAACTCTTATTGTTTCTGAAGCTGTTAGTTATAAAATACAGCTCATGAAGCTCAGGACAAAAAACCTACAACAATACTCATTTAATAGATGGAGCTGTAGCTCGGATTTAGAAGCTTATCCAGTGTCTAAATGTGATGGGGGAGCTTCGACTGATAAAGAGTTTATGACATTACTGCGTGTGAACTGACCTACATAGCATCAGCACCAGGGAGAAGGGTTTAACAAAGTCAGCATCAAAGCTCATGTATTTTTTAACCTTCTAGTGCTAGGAGTCCCTTTGAGAGTTCGATGAAAGCTGTGAGCAAGCTCCTAAAGTCCATCTATGAACTCCCACACTCAGGGGCTCCATGAAGTTAAGACTTCTGATCAAGTGAAGTACTAGAGAACCCAAGAATCAATCCTCAAGCATTGAACGAGCCTTTTTGTTATACAGAGTGCATGTTTCTGAGTGATATGAGAGAAACATCATTAATCCTGCCCATTAGGAGTCTAAGAGACAAGACACAGTCATTGTCAGAAGGGGCCGTAGTTCCCGTGGAGTAGTGGAAAGGCCCAGGAGGAAGTGAATGTGCATGAAGGGAATAGTGTGGATAATTATCTTGGCCAGGACCTGGCCTGTAGGACCCTCCTCCTTGCTTACACCGTGTGTTAGTTTGCTAGGGATATCGTAACAAAATACCATACACTGGGTGGCTTGAGCAACGGGGATTTATTTTCTCATAATTCTGAAGGTTAGAAGTTCAACATAAAGATATTGATAGGGTTGGTTTCTTCTGAGGCCTCTCTGCTTGGTTTGCAGATGACTATCTTCTCCATGTCTTCACATAGTCTTTCTTCTGTGTGTGTCTGTGTCCTGAGCTCTTCTAAGGACATCAGTCATATTTGTTGACCCCATTTTACCTTAATGACTTTAAAGGTCCTATCTCCAGATATAGTCATATCCTGAGGTACTGGAGGTTAGAACTTTAAGATATGAATTTTTGGTGAAACACAATTCAGCCCATAACAAGTCATTCTTCCTTTTCCTTGAAGGATAACACGTATTTCTAGCCATATAAAATTTTGGAAGTCTGACAGCCTTTATTTCATTCTTTCTCTCTCCCTTCCAGCCCAGGGTAGAAGTATTTCCACTGATATAACATTCTCAAGAAACTTGTGGGTTTCCTGTGCACTCTATGGGGGTCTATGCCACCAGACAAGAGGGTTCTCCACAGCTCTTTCCTGGATAAGCCCATCAGTATTCCTGGCTTCTGTTGAGAAGGTTGATTGCATTCATGGGTCACATTCACATGCCAAATCTCTCTAGCAAAAGGTTGTTTGTCTTTATTTTTGATGTTCTTTCCAGAGCATGCTTTCTTGCTTTTTTTTTTTTTTCTTTCTATTTGGAGGCTGAGAATTTTCAAAATCATTAAGTTCTGTTTCCTTTTTGCTTAGTAGTTTCTTCCTCCATGTATCTCTTGCCTCTCACATTTTACTATAAGCAGCAAGGGAAAATAGGCTCTGCTTTCCATACTGTGGAAATCTCCTCAGCTCAATATTTATGTTCGTCACTTACAAGTTCTGCTTTCCCCCCAACAGTAGAAGATAATACAGTAAAATTCTCACCACTTTATAAAAAGGGTTGCCTTTTCCCTAGTGTCCAATAACATGTTCACCATTTCCTCTGAGACCTAACCAGAGTTGCCTTTAACATTTATATTTCTACCAACACTCCCTTCATGATAATATATGTATTCTCTAAGATGATAGAAGATTTCTCTATAGTTTTCACATCTTTCTAAGACTTTACCATAATCTCCTTTAACGTCCATATTTTTACCAACAATCTCTTTAAGGCATTCTAGACTTTTTCTATCATATGCTTCAAAATTCTTCTGACTACTACCAATTATTCAATTTCAAAGCTACTTCCACATTTTTGGGAATTTGATATAGTAGTTCCAGTTATTAGTACAAAAACTTCTATTAGTTCCCAACAATTCCCATAACAAATTACCAAAAGTCGACTGGCTTAAAATAATAGGAACTTATTTTCTCAATGTTCTGGAGGCTAGGAGTCTGAAATCAATAGGCACAGGGTCCTTAAGAAAGCTTTAGGGAAAAATCCTTCCTTACCTCTTCCTAGCTTCTAGTGACTTCCAATAATCTCCGGTATTCCTTGGTTTGTAGATGTATCATTCTAATCTCTACCTCTGTCTTCACATGACCCTCTTCTCCCATGTGTCAGCTCTGAATCTCTGTGTCCTATTTTCTCCTAAGGACACCAGTAATTGGACCTAAGGCCCATCCTAATTCTGGTATGACTTTATCTTAATTTATTTACATCTGCAAAGGCCCTGTTTCCATTCACAGGCATCAGGGGTATGAGACTTGAACATACGTTTTGGAGGGACACAATTCAACACACTACAAAGTGAGTTGCAGATTTGACTCTAAACTTCTGGTTGACCAAAAGAATAAGAAAAATATGATTAGTGGTAGAATTCATAATGTAAAAAAATTCATAAAAAACCTACACTATGTAAACCAGCAAATGCTACCTTTCCACATCCTTGCTATATAATGTTTCTTTTAGCTGTTTCCTTTGGTGGAAACATCCCTTGGTGGATAGGTAATGGAAAAGGGCTGAAGTCCAATTAAGTAAAGCCATTTTGTGAGA